TCCTCCTCCTCCTCCTCCTCCTCCTCCTCCTCCCCCTCCCCCTCGTTGGAGCCTTCTGGCTCTCGGCCTCTGCCGCCTTGGTGGACGCCTCCAGGTTAGCGAAGTCGGACTGCCAGCGGGCGGACCGCTGCCCCTCATCCCCCCAATGCGGACGCTTCCATCCCCAACAGATGGCGCCTCAAACCTGAGGGACCCACGAACCTGGTAAGGAATCTGGGCCAAACGTTTCCGACACGTGTGCTACATGTTCCTTTTCTGAACTGATTCACGACCTCCAACGTTTCCTCCTCCTCCTTATCCTCCTCCTTCTCCTCCTCGTTCTCCCTCTCCCCGTCATCATCATTCTCATCATCATCATCATCATCATCATCATCATCATCATCATCATCATCATCATCATCATCATCATCAGCATCATCATCATCAGCATCATCATCAACAGCAGCATCCATCATCAGCATCATCATCAACATCAGCAGCAGCATCATCATCATCATCATCATCATCATCATCATCAGCATCATCATCATCATCATCATCATAATCATCATCATCATCCTCATCATCATCATCAGCACCATCATCATCATCATCATCATCAGCAGCAGCAGCATCATCATCAGCAACAGCAGCATCATCATCGCCATTAGCAGCAACATCAGCATCGCAAGTACCGTCATAATCAGCATCAGCATCACCATCAGCATCATCATCAGCATCATCAGAATTATCATAATCACCGGCGTCATCATCATCGGCATCGTAATCATCAGCAGCAGCATCAGCATCGTCAGCATCAGCATCAGCAGCAGCATCATCAGCATAATCATCCTCACCATGTCCATCACCATCGCCATCACCAAAATAGCACAATCACCATCAGCATCACCAGTATCACCAACATCACCATCACAATCACCATCATGACCATCATCATCGTCATCAACATCGTCATCATCAGCATCATCATCGTCAGCATCATCAGCATCAGCATCATCATCAGCATCATCAGCATCATCGTCGTCATCATCATCAGCATCAGCATCATCAACATGATCATCATCTGCAGCAGCATCAACGTCATCATCATCATCATCAGCATCAACGTCATCATCTTCGTCGTCGGCATCGGCATCGCCATCGTCATCGTCATCATCATCAACAGCATCATCATCAGCAGCATCAGAATCAGCATCATCAGCATCAGCAGCAGCAGCAGAATCATCGGCATCATCAGCATCATCACCATCCGCAGCAGCATCAACATCGTCATCCTCATCATCATCAGCATCATCATCAGCATCATCGTCAGTATCATCACCATGGTCATCGGGATCGTCATTGTCATCGTCATCATCATCCACAGTATCGTCATCACCATAAGCATCACCTGCTTCATCATCTTCTTCTTCATCAGCATCGTCATCATCATCGTCATCACGATCATCATCAGCATCATCCTCGTCCTCATTCTCATCATCATAATCACCAGCACCACCATCATTATCAACAGCGCCATCAGCATCGCCATCATCATCGTCAGCAGCAGCATCGACATCTGCATCCTCAGCATCATCATCATCATCATCATCAGCAGCAGCATCATCATCATCATCATCATCATCATCAGCATCATCAGCATCATCATCATCATCATCAGTATCATCATCATCATCATCATCCTGCCACCTGTCCCTCTTTGTCGCTCGTTCGCCGTCCGCCTCTTCTTCGCTGTCCTTTTCATCGCCTGCCTCGGCCTGCCCACCCCCCTCCCGACCCCCCTTCCTCCTTCTCTCTCCTACTTTCCCCTGCTTCGCCCTCCTGGCCTCACACCCTCCCGTCTTCGTCGTCGTCTGGCGCAAGCATTTTTCCTTCCAAAGAACTGCCCCCCCTTCTGGGCCCCCTGCCTGCAGCCCCGTGGGCACGTGAGAACGCGTGCCCCGCACGAGCCCGCCAGGCAGATGTTGAACCCACCCACCCTTCCGCGCCCAGTAAAAAACTGGGCCTTCTCTAAATTGGGTCCCCCTCTGGGGGCCGTGGACACGTGAAGACAAGACCTCCGCGCACGCGCGAAGGCAATGTTGGGTCCCCTTTTTCCGCGCACGTATTCTCACATGTAGAGAATTCGCCGCGCTAGGCGCATGTTGGGACCCCCCCTCCGCGCACACATGTTCAAAAATCCAGGATTCGCCAAAAAATGCTCCCATTTCTCGGAGCCGTGAGCACGTGAAAACACGTGCCACGCACGCACGCGCCAGGCGCATGTTGCCCCCCCCCATACGCGCACATATTGAGTCCCCCCTTCTCGGGACCGTGGACACGTGAAAACACGTGCCCCGCGCGCACGCTCCGCGCCCCCCTCCTCTCCGCGCACAGATTATCACGTGTACGGAATCAGCCGACTAGAAACTGAGTCTCCCTGGAGACTGTGGACACGTGAAAACAAGTACCCCCCGCGCACGCGCTACGCGCATGCTGGGGCCCCCATACGCGCACGCATTTTCACACGTAAAGAATCCGCCGACTAGAGGCTGGGTTCCCCCCGGGACCCGTGAGCACGTCAAGACAGTTGCCCTACGCGCGCAAACGCCAGACGCATGTTGAACCACCCCCCTCCGCGCACGTACTCTTAAATGTCAAGAACCGACTAGAAGCTGGGTCCCCCCGTCTCGGTCGCTTACCCCCGCAGGGTCCCGTTGCGCTCCCCCCTGCCCGAGGATCGGCGACTCGGAAGGGTGTGATCTGCAAAGGATGTGATCCGAGGAGGCCTGACGAGGACGGCGTCGTTCAGGCCCCGGCCCCAACGGTGCCAATCGCAAACCACCCCCCGGCGTAACCACACCCTTTGCAATTTTTCTGCAACGCGCGCGCTGAGCGGACGCGGCGCCGCGCGGCAGCGCCCAACGCCTCGAGAGACGGTGCCCGGCCCAGGCGGGTGCACCTGATTGAGAGGGGCCGCCACACTAGAGGCCTTCTAGATGGACTCGGAAAAGGTGGGGTCGGAAGATCGCGCCGCATCGCCGATGCATCGCCGATGCATCGGCGATGCATCCTGGATGCACCAGCGACGCATCGTCGACGTCGGCGATGCACCGGCGACATCGACGTGAAACAAATCGGGTTCCACATCGAACCGCATCGGCGATTCATCGGCGATGTGGCGCGATCCACCGACCCCATCTACTCGGACCCCATCTGGGAGGCCTAGACTGATTTGGAGGGGCCGTCACACACGACCCCCACAGGGGAGCACACCCTTGGTCGCAGCCTTGAGACGGGGGTCAATGCAAACGGGGGTCAGCCAGACCCAGGTTCGGGAACAAGATTCTGCAGGATCTTGCAAGATCCTTCGCATTGACCCGGGTCTGGGCGCAGGATCTTGCAGGATCCTGCAAGATTTTGCAAAGCCTGACTGACCCGGGTCTGGATTGACCCGTGTCAGCAAATCCCCGACTTGGTAGCCGCCGAAGACCTCCGGCAATTCGCCCCCCCAAAAAAAGATTGAGCAGGGATCGGCCGTCTCGACATTCCGACAGGCCCACCACTAAATGTTCTTAGAACCCACAAAATTCTCTGATAGCACCTGGAGCATAAGCCCGATGTGTCAAAACAAGACAGCCTCGGCCCGAAATCCTTGAATAACAATTCGTGCAAACCACCAAAGGCTCTTAGAACATTCTCTGGTAGGCCTGTAGGCAAGCCAAAACGCTTCGCCACTGCTTGAGGAGAGGCGACCCCAGTCTGCTGCCGGGCGCTTGGCCTGTGGAGGGCCCGGCGGCGGGGGGCCAGCCCCTCGGGCCTCGCCTCGGGGAGCGGCTCGGGGGGGGGGGGGGGGGGGGGCGCCCAGCCCCCGGGGGGAGGGGGCGGAGAGGGGTCTAGGGGCGCTCCGCCTGTGAGAGGACGGGAGTTGTCAGGCTCGGGGGGGAGAGGTTGTTTTTTTTTCACTTGCCCACCCGCACCGGCCTCGCACAGCCGCTGTCTTCTGGCATGCCGAGGATAGGTGCTGGCTTTGGCCGGACATCAGACTAGGTAGTTTGAACTCTCGGGGGGGCTGTAATGTTCCCCCCCTCATGGACAGCCTCCGATTTGAGAGAATCATTACTTGTGCTGAAAAAGACCAGAAACAAATTGTGATGACATAAGCAAAATATGTGCAAATGTTATGTCTAAAGCTAGATCAACAGACGTTGGGATAATGAGGTTGCGCGCGGGGCACGGGAAGTAAGCGCACACGCCTTCAGACATGATTCGCCCCGGGCATCTCGAACGCCTGTCCTGCGCGCCGACGGCGTCGGTCTGCCCAATTTGCACAGCGTCGACAGCGCCGCAACGACTGCAGCGCGGGCGATGCCAAGGCAACCGCTCGCACGAGAAAAACGAAGCAAAGGGGGGAAAATGATTGGACGCCCCGGCGCAGCCCCGGCCCCTGGGCCATTTCTGGCGCCAGACCCAACGCCGCCTCCACGCCGGCCGAGCGCCTCGACTTCGACTTTGCCCAACCCTAGCTCGGCTTCCAATCCTGGCCCCGCTGGCCCGAAAAATCTGCCCCCAACGAGGGCAGCGTGAGCGGGCTGGGGCCCGCAGACAAGGGGGGGAGGCAGGAAAGGAGAAACCACAACCCACGGGAGGAAGGGACGGGAAACGAGGGAGAAAAAAAAGGAACACAGGAAGGGGGGAGAAGTGAGGCAGGGACGGAGACGGAAAGGTGGGGGGCTCGGGATGCTCGCCCAGCCCTGCGGGCCTCAAGCGGCAGAGCGCGCGCCCGAAGCGCTGGCGCCGGGATGCTAGCTCCTCGGCAGCGTCTCGCCGCGCGCGCACTCGTGCGCGCTAGCATGAAAAAAGACCGACCTATCAATATGTATATATATACACACACAAGACTGCATTGGCGCTTCGCGCCATGCGCCTTGTTCCAGACGCTTCCCTGGCAAAGCAGTAAATCCTCGCTTGCTTCAGCAGGGAAGACCTCGAGGCCTGGACGGGCGGCCCGCCCATTCTTCCGACATCCCTGGTGCATGCTGACACCGCCTTCGGACGATGCGCTTGCACGCTTGTGCGCAGGAATGGGGGAAAAATACTGGTTCGGTCACGCGCGAAGGTCCTTTGAGG